GGTCAAGGCTCACCACTGCCCAGTACAGGGCCCCAGCCACTGCCCTACTCCTGCTGACCACGCTGTTCCTGACACAGGCCAGGATGCCACTGGCCTTCTTGGCCACCCGGGCACACTGCTGGCTCATAGTCAGCCGGATGTCAACCAACACCCCCAGGTCCTTCTCCACTGGGCAGCTTTCCAGCCCCTTGTTCCCAACCTGTAGTGTTGCAGGGAGTTGTGACCCAAGTGCAGGACCCGGCACTTGGTACTGTTGACCCTCATACAGTTGGCCTCTGCCTGTCCAGATCCCTCTGCTGAGCCTTCCCACCCTCAGGCAGATCAACACTCCTCCAGTTTGTGGACCACGCCAAATTGGGTGGGAGCATGTAGGGCTGCAGCCTTCTCTTTTCATGCGTCATTGTATTAAGGAGGGATGACTTAAGCTTCGAATTCTGCTTTCTTTCATCTGCTCATCTGATTTTTTTTTTTTTGTCCCACTAAAAAACCTTGTAGTGTTGTGTTTTAGTGTTACAGTTCTGTGTTTGTGTAACCAAAAAGATCATAGGCCTCTTAATGTTTTGAACTTCCTTAGTCGTTCAAGTTGTTTCTCAGCTCAGAAGGTGTACCAATACTAATGTTGATGTTTTTTCTCAATACAGCATTACAGTGTTACTGCCATCTGTGTACAAAAGACAACTTTACCTGTGTGACAGATGGGCTGTGTTTTACCTCAGTAACACGAACTGCAGACAAACTGATACACAATAGTATGTGTATAGCAGAAATTGATCTCATTCCGCGAGACAGGCCGTTTGTCTGTGCCCCCTCCTCAAGAGATGGAGTCATTACTGTGCCTCATTGCTGTGACAGAGACCACTGCAATAAAATAGAACTTCCAATTCCAACGCCAGGTACGGCCTTTTGGTATATTTGATTTTTTTTTTTATTTTTAACAGAAAATTCTGTGAGAATGGAAGTTTCAGTTTTGAAGTTATAGGTGGATTTGAAGGCCTAAAGTCTTAGAGTCTGCAAGTAAGTTCTCAAGGTATTTAGAACAATAAATTTCATCTTCTGCATAGAGATGTTAAGACCAGGTTTGAAGATTTACGTGCAAATTAAATGGAGACTGTGTAAGCACATAGTTGCTTTTGTCCTTTGTAATACTTATGCTGATTCTTGAAAACATTACTATGCAAGTTTTACCCATAACATTGGAATAATTTGAAGATCACTGCAAAGTACAATAAGTCTAGTTGTGTAAAAAAAAAAAGAAGTTTTACCACTTTCTTTTATTTTTTACTGTCAGGCCCTACTCCAGGAAAACCAGCTTCTAATCTAGGACCTGTGGAACTGGCGGCTGTCATTGCTGGACCTGTCTGCTTTGTCTGCATTTCACTAATGTTGATTCTGTATCTTTGTCATAATCGTACTGTAATTCATCATCGTGTGCCAAGTGAAGAAGATCCCTCCCTGGATCGTCCCTTTATATCGGAAGGAACTACTTTAAAGGATTTAATTTATGATATGACAACTTCAGGCTCTGGATCAGGTAATGTCACATTTCCTAGTAGTAATTACTCTGCGTTTAAAAACCGTGTAGGGCATCAAATTTTTTTAGTATTATCAAATTTACTTAAACTTATAGTCTACATGGAAGTAGCCTTTCTAGTAATTTCTCCAGTTCTTAACTGGAATATGACTAGAAAGGCTACTTCCATGTAGACTATTTCAATATCAGTGCAGTTTCAATATATGGAAATAAGTGAAATAAAAGAAACAGTAATACTGAGTTGCTGCTATTGTTCCTCATCATTCTGAGACTGCAGTCTGATATGTGGGGAATATCACAGTCAGCTATTGTAAATGTTTTGTTTCTTCTATTAGTAGGCTCAGTCATTCAGCTTTTTGTTCTGCAGAGCATATCTAAATTACCATCTTCTGTGGTTTTCAGATAACTTAGGAAGTTTTTTTTCTTTAGCTTTAAACTGAAGATTCGTTATATCTGTAGCTATTGGTGTATGAAGAATATTCTGAATACTAAATAGGAGTTAATATATTAGCCAGTTATCTCCTTGCAGAAGATACTTTTTTCAGTTGCAATTAGCCATTTCTGTATGTATAGAATGGATGCAATGTGCAGACCACGCCTGAAAAAATTCTATCCCTTTAATGAATGTTTTGCATTAATTCTGACTAACAAGTCTTGCTCTGGGAAGATGAGGCAGTTGTCTGTTCACTGCATATGGTCTCTGCTATCATAATCCTGACTTAGTTGCTTATATGATTGTGCTGATCTGTGTCACAGAAATGTGGTTTAATGGGCGTTGATAAGGGATGGTGTGTCAGATAAATCATTGTGTAAATTTAATCTCTGCTCCGTATTGAGGAGCAAGACATCAGATTGTGTACTACAACCTCTTATCAGCCTTCTACTATACAAAAATTTTCAGTAACTCAATACTGAAAGTTATTCCTACTACTTGCAAATGTGTGTGCTGAAACATCTGTGCCCTCTCAGAGTACTTTCTGCAAAGAGAAAGTTGATTCTCAACTGCTGAATTCTTCAATTTCCCAGAACTGGAAAAAATTCTAACAGCAAAACCCAAGTATCTGAGTTGTATTTCCTTCCCAAAGGCAATAACTGGTAACACTGTTTAGAGTCCATTGCTCTAGCAAGTAAAATCAATGTAACATGCTGAAGGCGTTTAGAACATAGGTCAAAATAAGGCATCTTTAGAACTGTCTTCACTGAAGAAGGTGAGGTTGCGCAGAGTGTGTAGGCAGTTATGTTTCAATTGAGAAAGTTTTTGAGCATCCAAATAAGATTTGATCATGACAGGGTAAGTTGCTCTCTGATTAGAACTGGAGCTTTAGTAGTTTGTGTTCATCTCACCTTTACTAACAGCGACATCTAAATCAAATAATTAAAGTCTTCAATAGAACTTCTGATATGTCAGCTAGAACTTGATAAATGCAGTACTGCACTTACCCTCCTAGAAAGAATATAGCTGGAGGAGTATACAGAAGAGGCTTAGTAGGAGAATATGAAAGATTTATATTTCTTGGAATGCAAGAAGCTATGACATATAACTGTTACAGTGTTAGGAGCATAAAGCTCTTAAATGTCTGCAGGTACAGACTTCCTAAAGAAGACTGAGGAAAAATTCTATTCAAAACAGTTAAACCTTAAAAGAGCAGGTGTATGTTTTGTATGTTTAAGTAGTCATTTGTAATGTACTAGCTGCAATCAGGTCCGTAAACCCAGGAAAGAGACCCTTTAAAGTTTTCCCTTGAAACTGTTGTTTAAAGTACTGCCTGGTTGGCAGTTCTCTTCTAACTTCTGTAATAACCACAGCACTTCTACCACTTTTCTACATGGCTGCTTTCCCACGCTTTAGATCAGAAGTCAGGCCCATAATAATGTTAATTCAGGCTTAGCTGTCAACTGGTCTTTCAGTTTGTTACCGGGAATATTCCTTCATTTTTCTTCTGGCCTTCTTCCCTGAAGTGCTTCTGAGCCTCTCTTCATGTCTGAAAACTCTGGAAGTTATCCTTCAAAACAAGTTCTTGAAAAGCAGGGAACCCCACGTAGAAGAAATTAAGGATTCTTCCTCCAGAGCAAATGGTTAGAAGCTACTGACTCTTTCCTTGTCTATTTTCAAATTATGCTTTAAGTAAAAACAGCATGCTGGGGAATTACTTACTTTTCAGAGCTTCAGGACACTGAAGCTGGTCTAGACTCCCAGAGCACCTGACCTACTGTAGTATTTGAGCATTGGCTGCTGATGGGTTCGTCAGAGGAAGGCAGCTAACAGATATGTTTGAATTTAACTTACCCCTAAGCAAAGCTCTTCACTACATTCTTCTTATGCTTGGAAGACAGTCATGTTCCCTTGTATTGGGTGTGTGTGGCAAGGTTTTGGTAGCAGGGAGGCTGCAGGGGTGGCTTCTGTGGAAAGCTGCTAGAAGCCTTCCCTGTGTCCGACAGAGCCAGTGCCAGCCGGCTCCAAGCCAGACCCACTGCTGGCCAAGGCCAAGACAGTTGCAGTCATAACACCTCTCTGACAACATGTTTAACGAAGGTAGAGGGCGGGGAGGAACCCAGAGGGAGATAGATTTTGCAGAGAGCAAGATGTGAGAGAAACACCCCTGCACACCCCAAGGTCAGTGAAGAAGGAGGGGAGGAGGTGCTCCAGGCACCAGAGCAGAGATCCCCCGGCAGCCTGTGGTGCAGACCATGGTGAGGCAGGCTGTACCCCTGCAGCCGTGGAGGTCCACGGTGGACTAGAGAGGAAGAAGGAGCAGTAGGGACAAGTGTGGCAAACTGACCACAACCCCTGTGGGTCCCCCTGTGCCCCTCTGGGATAGGAGATGGAGAAAAGCAGGAGTGGACCTGAGCCTGGGAAGAAGGGAGGGACAGGGGAAGGTGGTTTAAGATTAGTTTTTTATTTTCTCATTATCCTACTCTGATTTGATTGGTAATAAATTAAATTCATTTTTCCCAAGTCGAGTCTGGTTTTGTCTGTGACAGTAATTGGTGAATAATCTCTAACTGTCCTTGTCTCGACCCAAGAGCCTTTCGTTATATTTTCTCTCCCCTATCCAGCTGAGGAGGGGAGTGTTGGAGTGGCTTTGGTGGGCACCTGCTGTCCAGCTAGGGTTAACCCACCACATCCCTGTAAAACAAGACAGACCATGGTGAGGCAGGCTGTACCCCTGCAGCCGTGGAGGTCCACGGTGGACTAGAGAGGAAGAAGGAGCAGTAGGGACAAGTGTGGCAAACTGACCACAACCCCTGTGGGTCCCCCTGTGCCCCTCTGGGATAGGAGATGGAGAAAAGCAGGAGTGGACCTGAGCCTGGGAAGAAGGGAGGGACAGGGGAAGGTGGTTTAAGATTAGTTTTTTATTTTCTCATTATCCTACTCTGATTTGATTGGTAATAAATTAAATTCATTTTTCCCAAGTCGAGTCTGGTTTTGTCTGTGACAGTAATTGGTGAATAATCTCTAACTGTCCTTGTCTCGACCCAAGAGCCTTTCGTTATATTTTCTCTCCCCTATCCAGCTGAGGAGGGGAGTGTTGGAGTGGCTTTGGTGGGCACCTGCTGTCCAGCTAGGGTTAACCCACCACATCCCTGTAAAACAAGAGTGGATGTTTCCATAAGAGTGATCTTTTAACTTCAGCTGCAGTGAGTTCCATGTTGCTCAGCTGTTTGTAAGGCAAGTATTAACCTTATTTAGTGTTTTATCCTTCCCTTTTATTGTGACAGTGGGATAGGAGGTGCTTCAGGTGCTTATTTTCTCTATGGTTGGCAGTGTATCTATTTGTAATTACTTGTATCACTTTGTCTGAAAATTAGTCAGTTGATGACTATATAAATTAACAGTGCCCTAGCACTTGAACTGGTAATTTTCTTGTGTCCTGAAATATTCCTGCAGCAATTGAGTCTCATGGAAATGTGTCTTTTAATCCAAACTTTGGTACAGCACATGTAAAATTGAGAAGACTGTACATTTATGAAGTAAACTGGGGGTGGGATACAGGGTCACTGAAGGGAGAAAAGTCAGAGCTGCTAGTTAAAATAGTGCTTAAATGTGTTGGAAACTGAACTGTGTTAAAGGGATGATGTTGGGGTGAGAGTTTGCCAGAAACACGATGAAAATGTACAGAACAGACAAAATAATCCAGACCTAAGAGGCATGGCTAAGGAAATACTTGGTCTGGTGAGCTAAAGTAAATGTTCTGATCTTAAATTCATGCTGAGGGACCAAAAGAGCTCACAGACAATACTATAATAGAAAACTGCTTGGATCCTTTTTATTTGGCTAAGAGAAGCATATAAAACAGAAGCGATCAAGACTCCAAAAATGAGCTTCCTACTCAGATCAAAAGGGAAGTAGAATTCACTTTCTGCAGTGATGAATAGTAAGCTGCTATTAATGACTCAGTCTTGACTTCTATTAGTAGTGCCTTCTTGTTCCAAGACAAACAAGACCTGAAACAACTAGAGGCTTGATGAAAGGCATTGATGAAACATTTAATATGGATCCTTCTGCTGAAGCCATAGCTTTCAAGAGAAGGATTTAAAATTCTCTTGAAGTGAGAATGATTTTTCAGATGATGATGCAAATCTCTAAATATCAACTACATACTGTAGGGACAGGTTTGGATGCCCAGCTGTTACTTTGCCATTTGTGAGATGGAGAGTTACTTAACTGCGAAGAAATAAGAAAAATTGCCTAAAGGAGAAGCTTTGGTTATTATTGGTAGGTGACTTCAAGCAGGAACTTAGTGTTCAGAAATCCAAGAATCAGCATAAAGTTGAGTCAGTTGAAGTGAATGTAAAACTTATCTGTGGTTCGTAGAAACTTGAAGAGAATGAGGTTTTTCACAGTTCATGGGGTTGATTTTTTTTTTTTTAAAAAAACCCTTCAGAGGAAGTCACCTGGGCAGAGACTTCCAAACAAGAACAAAGTTCTAGCGACTGCCTTTGTCTAACTTTAGTGCTTTAGAACTTAATTCCCAAATTATCCAAATCGGATACAAACTACTTAAGCATTTGTCATGGTTGATGCCCAGTCGGCAGCTAAGCACCAGGCAGCTGCTCACTCCTGCCACGGTGGGATGGGGAGGAGAAAATACCAGGAAAGGCTCGTGGGGCGAGACAAGGACGGGGAGGGATTGCTCTCCTGTTATGGTCATGGGCAAAACAGACTTGACTTGGGGAAGATGAAACAATTTGGTACCAATCAGATTTGGAGAATGAGAAACACCACCAGAACTTAAAACCATCTTCCCATCACCCCTCCCTTCTTCCCGGGCTCAGCTTTACTCCTCATGTCTACTTCTTCCCCCTGAGTGGTGCAGGGGGATGGGGAATGGGGGTTGTGGTCAGTTCATCACGTCTCAGGTACTCCTTCCTACTCAGGGTCTGGACGTGTCCTCACACTCTGCCCCTGCTCCAGCGTGGGGTCCCTCCCACGGGAGACAGTCCTCCGCCAACTTGTCTGACATGAGTCTTTCCCACAGGCTGCAGTTTTCTTCCTTCACTGCTCCAGCATGGGTCTCTTCCATGGGAGAAGCCTGCTCCAGCATGGGCTTCCCATGGAGTCACAGGCTCTTCAGGCACACCCCCCTGCTCCAGCATGGGGTCCTCCGTGGGCTGCAGGGGGGTCTCTGCCCCCCAGTGACCCTCCATGGGGCAGGAGCACAGCCTGCCCTCTCACCATGGGCTGCAGGGGAACCTCTGCTTTGGCCCACCCTCCTCTATTCACTGACCTGGGTATCTGCCTGGCTGTCTCTCTCACATCCCACCCCTCTCTTCTTCTGGAGGTTTTATTTCCCTTCTTAAATATGTTAATCACAGAGGCACTTATTGTCTTGGTCTTGGCCAGAGGCGGGTCCAACTATGAGAGCTTCTAGCAGCTTCTCATAGGAGCTAGCCCTGTGGCTGCTCTGCCGCCACCAAAACCCCAGCACACAAACTCAGTACAGCATTGGACAGTCATTGGTTCATAATAATCGTACTAGAGTTAAGATATGGAAAGGAAAATAACATTTTTATAACTGTCATAAGGCTTAAGGATACTTTGTTATGAGGTATGAAGTTGATGATGAAGGCTCCAGGGGTAAACTGGATGACCGTGGATGAATACAAGATGCCAAATGTTATGAGCCGCTGCTGAACTTAATATGGGCTTGAATTGTCTCCTCCTCCTGCTTAGCAAACTTCTGTAATCTTTCTTTATGCACGGTGTCGTGGTTTAACTCCAGCTAGCAAAATACCACAAAGCCGCTCTCACAATGAAAATGAAAACTAAAATGAAAATGAATAAATGAAAACTGGGAAAACTAAACAAACCCACCAACTCCCTCACAAACCAGCCAGCACAGGAGTTAGCGAAGCAGCTAACGCAGGAGTCAGGGTGAGGATTAGCAGGCGTACGGGAGGGAACCAGAGAGGGTAAGAGAGGGAGAGAGTAATGGCGACCAGACCCCTTCCTCGCCTCTGTGTAAAGGCCTGAGTTAAAACAGACCAAAAAAGGTTTGTGCCAGCTAAGGTCTGTCTCAGCATTGCTGTAACCTCTCACTGCCTGCCACGGCCATAGCAAGGGAGCACCAGTGAGACTGCAAGGCTGGAGGGAACTGGTACAGGCATCCCCCAGCACCAGCTAAGAACTTATCAGTGCGGCTCCCTGCATCCAGGAACACAGCTTCCTAGCAGCCACGATAAAGAGATTTAACCCTTTCCTGGCTGAATCCAGCACACACGGGTAAGAGAAGCTGTACTCCAAGAGCTTGAGGTACGGTTGTGCCCGCTGTGTGTGTCGAAGGCTAACGTAGCTATCTCCAGCGACCTACTTTTCAGTCTGGTGTGCAGTAAAGCAGTTGCTCAAGTTCCTGGTGATACAGAAAGAGGGGACTGCTCAGTTGCAACAGAAAGTCTGAAAGGAAATCTTATTCATGGAAGATAAACATGGATTCCAGACTTCTGGTTTTGTTCAGCACCAGTAGTAAGATAAAGTACAGTTGCAAAAAGCCAGAAGCAAGTTGGATCTTGTAAATACTGTAACAGTACACATAGGAGCAGGTAGATAGATCACAGCAGAGTTTTCATTGTACTGTGACCTGTTAACGTGATGAGTGGGGCTTTTTAATGCAAAGTTGAAATGCTTCGTGTCTGGATGGTTTAGAGCTTAATATCTGTTTAGAGGTTAGCCGATAGCCTTGATTATCTCTCTTAAACAAGAGATGTCTGTAAATGGTACAGCAGGTTGAGAGCTGTGCATCTGAAATTGTACAAACAGCTGTAGAAAAATATTAGTCATATCACTCATTTCAAGTATACAGAGTCAGCTTGTGTAACACTTCTCAGTGGATTCTGCAGTAGCACATAAGCGCAAAGGAGAGATTTTTCTGTGGCCGACAAAGCCAAATTTTACATTTTCAAGGTTGAGTTTCATCCTGTGGTTGTTCTAGTTTGGCCTTTACTGCATTTTAGAAGTCTGTCCATAAAGACTTCAAGTTGGGCTTCACAGATGAGGCAGTTTGGGCATGCAGCACAGTTGAGCTGAGGGCAGCTAGTACAGCAAAACCTTTAACTTTCTCAGTAGGAATTACTGCAGCACCTGACAATGATTAAATCACTGGTATGATGTTCATTTTCATAGAATCATAGAACAATTTGGGTTGGAAGGGACCTTAAAGCCCATCCAGTTCCACCCCCCCTGCCATGGGCAGGTACACCCTCCACTAGCCTCATCTGCTCAAAGCCTCATCCAGCCTGGCCTTGGACACTTCCAGGGATGGGGCATCCACAGCTTCTCTGGGCAACCTGTGCCAGTGCCTCACCACCCTCTCCGGGAAGAACTTCTTCCTGATATCTGATCTAAACCTCCCCACTTTCAATTTAAACCCGTTCCCCCTTGTCCTGTCACTACAGGCCCTTGTAAAAAGTCCCCCCCAGCTTCCTTGTAGCCTCTTCAGGTACTGGAAGGTGCTCTAAGGTCTCCCCGGAGCCTTCTCTTCTCCAGGCTGAACAAGCCCAACTCTCTCAGTCTGTCCCCATAGCAGAGGGGCTCCAGCCCTCTGAGCATCTTCGTGGCCTCCTCTGGACTCAGTTTTTTTCCCCCTTCCTTTCCTAATTTAGGTATGTTGTCAGCATGGGTCATGCACAAAATTCCTGTAGGTCTGGAAGTCTTGAGGAACTCCTGAACACTGCAGCGTTTTAATTTGTGCACCTCAGCCTGGGACACAAGTGTGGCAACACTGCAGACCACATCAGATGTCCATCTAGTGCTCTTACTAGCAAAGAATGTCCAGGGATGGATAGAACTAGTTATTTGAGCTATTAAATGGGATTTGCTTTCCGCAGCATAAGGAAATACAGATGTTCTTCTGTCAGCTATTCTATTTTCCATTGGTGATCATGGAGATGAAATCAAACACTACAAAGTAACCTTATACCAAAAGAGCTTATTTTGAGCAGATAACCTGGCTGATGCATTCACCCTGCAGTGTAGTGTCACTGCAGAATTCTGTGACAAGCCTTGCAGTTACAACAGGAAAGAATTAAAATAAACAAAATCCCACCCTAGTGGGGGCATGCCAGTGCTGCTTGTTTGCTGTATCAGTTTATGGAAGCATGTTACGAGGTGCTGTGAGTCGAAAGCATGTAGATGTTCCGAAGCTGTAAAGACTTCATGAGTGTGTGTTTCTCAGGTATAACCATAGTGAGGTGTACAAGAATGGCCTCTTGCATTACAAAGGTGTTTTCGTATTTTACAGTGGCCTGAGGGTACTAACAAGCTATTGGCATTCTTGAGCATGAGTATGAACATTCAACACTTGTCAGTCTTGCGGATAAGCATGGTTAAACTTAGAAATGGACTGGGTTATATATCTAGTGATAAATCAAGTAAATGAATCAGTAGGAAAAGTGCTCTTGAACTATTTTGCCAGCAGATTTATGGGCACATCCTTTTCTTAAAAATAAAAAGAAACCCACAACCAAACAAAAAACCAAACAGAAACCCACCAGAAAATAAACTCTCAATCGTGGTCCTGATTGTTTCATGGTTTGTTTTTGTTGTTTTTTTGTTTGTTTGGTTTGTTTTTTTCCCTCTAAAATAAAACTCATGGGTCAACAACTGTCAAAATTCTAAAGCGAAAGGAAGTTTGTACCTTCTTTTTAACAGCTGTAGAGGCACTTTGTAAGATAATACTTTAAATACTTATATTGCTGGCCTTTAGGGTTGAAGGCAGCATCTTGCCTAAATGCTTGTTAGCAGTTCCCAACAAGCTATTACATACTTGAGAGTTTGTGCATTCTACGAGAAGTATCTTAATGGAATATGGGTCTTCATATATAGTGCTTTTGGTAAGTGCTTGTTTTGTTAGAGCAATGTTGAAGGTCAGTGTTAAATCTTCTTTTTAGGTTTACCTTTACTTGTGCAACGAACAATTGCAAGAACTATAGTACTTCAAGAAAGCATTGGTAAGGGTCGCTTTGGAGAAGTCTGGCGAGGGAAGTGGAGAGGAGAAGAAGTTGCTGTGAAGATCTTCTCTTCAAGAGAGGAACGCTCATGGTTTCGTGAAGCAGAAATTTATCAAACAGTTATGCTACGGCATGAAAACATTCTTGGATTCATAGCTGCAGACAACAAAGGTGAGTGATACTGTGAATTAATTTCCCTGATTGTGTACCTGTTCAGAATAGATGGTAAATTGAGGGGAAAATAAAGTTATGAGGATCCAATTAAGAGTAGCAAAAAATAATTTTGTTACTAGAGCATTTCAGGGTTTGGTAGACTTTTCACAGGTTTAATGAAGGAAAAAGTATATTTTCCTTTTTCTGGAAAACATGCTTTGTTTAAATCTTACCAAAAAGGACATGTTTCATGAGGTGCACTTTCTACAAGGACATTAAAATACTGGCAAAGTTTGGTATCAAAAAAGAGATGCCTTAACCTGTCAGCCCACACACTTGCTTACTAACTGTACCTGTACTTCCCTAGTAGCCTTGTGAGACAGGTATGTGGGACTGGAAGAGATGATGTCTAATCCTGTTGTCCTAATACAAAGTAGGAGGCAGAGGATTCATTATGAAGGCAGAGATGTGAGAAGCTACTCAGAGCTCCAGTTAGGAGAAAAAAAAAAATGGGAAAAGGGAATTAATTATTTGTTCCTACTACTAAAATACTCTACCTTTTTCCTGAAGCTCTCATGATAAGTCTTTAAGTATCCACTAAGACAAACAGTATAACCATTTTTTCAACCTGATTTGTTGCAGTTTGTCGGATGAAAGTTTCTTGGGTTTTCCTACAGTCCAGTTTAAGACATGAACATTTGGCAAAACCAGCAACAGTTTTTAATTTCTTACATTAATGGGAGATAAAATGTTATGCTGTGTCAGTTATTTTAATCTGAAATTACGTGTTTCACTGCAAATGGCCTTGGACTTTTTTGTGAAGGATGCATTAACAGCAAATAGTGTCACCTTAGGGAGGAGTCAAGAATCTACAGTCATCCTGGATTCCTAAAGAGCTGTCGGTTTTGTAGGAAATTCCTAAATGGTTTTAGTGCAGTTGAAGTATGCATGTAAATAGAGTTCTTTCTTTTTAATTATCACTGGATTAATTTCCAGCTTCTGTACCTATAAAAATCTGTAGAATTTGAACAGCACCCAGGAGGTTGTGCAGAACACTTCTGTTCTCCAGGAAGGGGTTAGCTGTAGGTGATTTGTTCCTAACAAATATTTGTGCAACTTCTTAACCTCCAAGAGCTTGCAGATCTGCAGCATACCAGGCAACTTCTTCCTGCAGCTTCTTATGGTTACCATTAGAAACTGTCTTCATATCCAGTACAACTTCATCTGTGAAAGTAATGGCACCTGCAAGACCTTGCGTTTGTTCTGATGGACAGAGTGGAGTATCTGGGGCCTGAGTTTGCAATTAGATCAGTTGCATTAAAGCCATAAATGACAAGTCATCTCTGCAAAAGCCTTAGGTACTATATCTCACTTAAAAACATAAAGGATATATTGCAATCTTCTCTGTAACTTCTAACGAAATCTGTCTTTGGTTAAGCATACGAGTCTCCCATTTTGTCCCGAATCCGTGGATAGCTTGTCCCAAAAATACCCCTGACTGCTGTGCAGAGGAGGTGTGCGAAAGGTTTCCTGAACAAGTGGGTTCCTAAAATGACTTCCTGTTTGCTGGCTCAGGTTCAACATGCAATAGGACTTGGTCATCTCTAGGTTCATTATAATTTTATATCACATTATGTTGTTTCTGGTCCCTATTGTTAACATTCTGTGCATGCAAAGAAAAATCCCTTGGCTGATAGGTTAGGCCATTATTTGAGGCTTTAAGGCAAGGCTTTTCTGCTTTCTTGAGAATTAGTTGGTAATTGGTTTACAAAACGTGGATAAAGATGTGTTTTGAAAATGCTGCTATTCTTGACTCTGTTTTCTAACAGTATTGCTGTCTTATAGAATCATAGAATCA